GCTTCCCCCATGGTCACTTACCGCTACTTTTTCAAATTTTACCACCCGTCGCTAATTTCCATATACCGATTCATAGGGCCCAATTTGTCAGGCACGATAAATTGGTACATGTTATTTGTTGAACAGTGCACAAATTGGGCCCAACACACAAAAATCTGTGTGGCTTCCATAAACTTTTCCAAATCACGGGCTGACTTGTTGGATTGAAGTCGCGGGGTGCATTGGATTCACCATTCACATGTACCGATTTCACATCCCGATTTATCGTGCCCAACAAATCAGGTCGATAAATCGGTACATGTATATTTATTTAGCATTTACGCTACATTTACACCAATACAATATTTACCTCAGCCCTGAGAAGTTCTCCGCCCGACAGAGCTTCTAGCTGTGCAGCAAGTCACTTCCTCTGATATCTCAATTACCCGACCATTTTCTGTACGACCTCCTTCAGGACAAGCAAATCAAAGCTCTTCCCAGCCTTGAGCTTGGTTAGCGACGTACTGCAGAAGACACTGTGAGTCTCAATGGAGTACTTGCGGATACAGTGCCGCAGAACACCGCTAAACCTGAAAAATAATTAATGAGAATGTACACATCATGTCCAAAGAAAGTACAGAAATGAATCTTCTCGGTCCCAAGATCAAAATATTAATTCCTGTTACTGATTGTCATAAATTTATTTTAATGTAAGTTTCTGAGAATTTGGTTGTACATCAAGTCAATATCCAGGCTAGCCTGCCAGCAAGCTCTCTGGGGGTTTTTGGGGGTGGGGGGCGGGGAGGCGGGAAAGTGAAAGAGAGCTTGCAACGATGTCTCAGAGTTTTGAATATCTGCGCTCAAAAAATCGACACGAAATGCTGATTGGTGGAAATTAATTAATTGATGACGTCTTCTTAGCAAACATGACGCTTTAGTGTTTATCACTCGTGCAGAAAAATTAGTTCAGGTATTATTTGGAAGTAACTTTCGGAAGGGGCACGTACTAAAATTTTTTCTGTTCAGCCGCTTTGAAAATGCTTTCCCACAAAGAGACCTCTCTCGAGTCAAAGGTACGGTAGTAGTTCCGGAGAAAACAACATTTTTTCGTAGCACATACTGGAAATACTACACACTGGCTTTTGTTAATTAAATATGCAAAATCTTGCAACAGAAATTTCAGAGCGGAATTTCTAACAAACGGGGAACCAAATATTCTAGCTGTCCTGCGCTTTGAACCCACCTATCAATAGAGAATGTTTCGATTCGACTAGTTTAGTACTTTATCTGAGAAACGACTTTCGAGCGTGTGAGATCGAATACAAAGGCATTGCGTTACGTAGAAAATTGAGACGACCACGAAGTTTCAATTGCACCAAATTTTGACAGCTCAAAAGCTGAAACGGCGGGGGGTTTTGGGGGCGGCATTCAAAATTCTGAGACATTAGTGCAAGCTCTCTTTCCCCCGCTCTTTCTATCTTTATCCCAAAAAAACGCCAAGAGAGCTTGCTCGCAGGCTATATCCAGGCCCTAGTTGATGATTTTCTTTATTTCTCATCACCTGTCTGCTTGACAATGTAGTAATATTGTGAGGAGAAATTAGGTGTGGATCACTCATGGGAATTAAAGAATGTTCAAATTAGTAACTAAGGTCTAAGTGGGGGAGACAGGGGAGTCCATACCTTGTACTCGCCCCCAAAAAAATTAAAAAAAAAATTTTAAATTAAATAAAATAAAAATAATAAATAAATAAATAAATAAAAAATAATAAATAATAAATAATAAATAATAAATAAAAAAATAAATATAAATAATAAAAAATAAAATAAATAAAAGATTTCATACTTTTTTAGCCACTCTGAAATGTTAGTGTCTTCATGTTTTAGTCTCTCTCTTTCAGGATTTGCCAGAGCTTCAATAATACAATCTATTTTCAAGTTAAGGAAAGGAACAACTACAGGACTGGTACAGTAACTTTAGGAGCTACGTTGTATGTCACTATTCCTAAGTCATTTTTGCGATGTGTGAAATCCCCTTCAGAATCGAAATCCTGAACCACAAAATAATACTTTACTGAAGTAGAAAAACAACAAAGATGTAACAATAAACCAAACTGGAACAAGGATGGTTAAGATTGGGGAAGATTGAGACGGATTTCAAAGACAAACTTGAAAATTTAAGCAAATGTTTTCTGACAAGACATCATTTGTGATGTAGCTCTCTCCTTTTTTTAAATCAAGGGCTTTCAAGACTGTGTGAGTCCCAGTATACTACAAACAATGCTATTCACGCATCAAGGATACAAGCTAACACATCGTACGCCAGTGGAGTGAGGTACTTCAGCGAGTCCACAACAGGACCAATGAAGTTATCATACTTCTGGAATCTGTGACAAGAGCTGTATACAAACATTAAATCAACAGGATCACCATTAAAATTCTCATTACTGTTTCCATACATTTTCTATAACTCTACTTGCGAGAATTTGATTTTCAATCAAGTCACTTTTAGCCCTTTCACTCCAATAGTGCTAAGTTCAAATCTGAGGAATAATCTTGAATTTCATTTTGCAAAATTGTCAACAAACAAAAACAGCACCAACTTGAAAGTACTGCTCAATAGCTTTCATTTGAATGTCACACACTTGCATTTCATCCCACAGACTCAAAAGTTACAACCACAGTTATGACTCATACTAAAATGAGCTGTTTTATCTCTACACACACATAGCAAGGTCAGGGAACTTACATATTCAAAACAAGATGCCTGGATTGCTGTGGCTCAGTTTGCCGATCTGTCTTCCGGATGGTTTGACGTTCTCTTTGGTTAATCTCCTGCAAAATAATAATAAAAAGTATATTGACAAGTGACCACAACATCTAACAAACAAACAAAAACAATCAATAATATATTGAAACAAAATACATACAGTGAAAATTGCAAATAACAGCCACAAGTCATTGCCTTCTTTACATCAAGAATAAATTTTCCTGACAATTTCAACCTCCATTGTTATAATATTGTTAGGAAACTTAAAGTACCTTTAACTTACTTTGTGATGTACTTTGCTCGCTTAATTGTCGAAGCTTTGCTTAAAACCATTTTAGGATGACTGTTGTATGATTCGTTTTTTTCCACTGACCATAAAGTCGATACCTAACAAACAAAAAAAGTTATATAACAGTCATGTAAGTATACAATAAACATAAAACTTTGTGGATTCGAGCATTGTGGAACCATGTTGGTAAAACTGTGTTAAAGAGCTCTATGACAAATCTAACATGTGACTGCTAAACTAAATATCATTTTTGAGACCATCACACCCATTATTTTAGGGAGATGTTGTGATCAAGCGGTCCTGGGTTTGAACGATGGCTAGGGTCGTCATTGTGTTGCATTCTTGGGTAAGACACTTTACTCTCACAGTGCCTCGCTCCACACTCAGGAGTATAAATGAGTACTGGCGAAAAAACTGCTGGGGTAACCTGCGATGGACAAGCATCCCATCCAGGGGGAGTAGCAATATACTCCTAATCCAGCTTCATGCTACGGAAACCGGGATAAGCTCTGGCTTGTTGGTTCGTGTAAGACTTTACCTTTACCACTTATAATTTTCATGTAGCTAAGCGCTGAATGTTTGTGGAGGAACGAATGAAGTGGCAGTTTCTCTAGCCACACCATGAGAGAATCCACTGTTAATCTAGGAAGCTTGCGGCATTGAAGGTGAGGCAAAGTAAGCTGATATCTCCTTTACAAAGGAAAAACAACTACACACTTCTATGCAATATAACTACACTTCCATCTACATTTTACCTGCCCAATGTGGCTGTTATATTGTAGAGAGATTCAACATTACTGTTACTCCCTTGCAATGTTACAAAACAGAACATCGTGTACCTGGCTACCTCATAAGGAAAACGACACAACAATGAGGCCCAGATTTCTTCTATGCTAAACTGGAGTTACATTCCAGTAGTGATATTGAAGGCAAAAGAACTTCGTCCACTAGAGTCAGAAGACCACACCAGACTTTCTCAACCTGCAACATTAATAAAACAATATTTACAGTGCTGTAAAAGACGCTACAACACTGGAAGTGGAAAGTGACCAATCATACATTGTAGCTCAGATAGTTGCATATTAAAATGACGATCTCAGAAATCATAGTATTGAAAGGGGGGGTGGGGGGGTGGGGGGGGGGGGGGGGGGGGGGGGGGGGTTTATAGGGGGGGGGGGAGAACTTTCCTGCTTGCCATACCTTGTTCTCCGGATTCCCGCCCCTTCTGTTGTAGTTTCTGCCTCTTTGTGCTTTTCTAATTTCAAAATATTACGTAATGTTGCATATTTTTCCCCTATTTTTTCCGGCTCCCACCACCTTCCTCCTATAGACCTCCCGACCCCCTTTACTCCAGAGTCCTGCCTCCCTGCTCCCCCCCCCCCCCCCCCCACCCTCCCTCACACTTGAAACTTTACAGCAGTCACTAAATTCACGCAAGAAACAAACCTGAATTGAACTCTGTTCTTGTCCTCAAACACATTTGGATGCTGTTGACAAGAAATTAAACAGACAACTATTCAATAGCACTTCCTGCAAGAAATAATGTGTCAAAAGACGAAAAAATTGCTCTGTTCCTCATCAGCTCGGTTTGTTATCATGATGATTCTCAAGGATTTTGATTTTAAAAAACATCATTTGAGGAATTGACGTAGATCTACAATGTACATGTATTTATCAAACTACATGTACATAAAATCAGAATGGAGGAACTACAATAAATAACTAAACAATCATTATTATTGAGAAAGATGTTTAAAATCAGTCAGACAAAAGCTACTTGGAAAATAATTTCTGAGTTCTACCAACAGGAGTTGATCCTACATTTACATGTACGACCTTACGCACAATGGTTGGACACTCTGCTACAGAAGATTCGTTGTTCTTTTTACAAAATCATCATGATTATTATTATTAATCCTTCACACAATCTTGAATATGATTTAAGTTTACGCGGTCTGTGGGAGACGCTGTGCCTAATGGTTAACGCGTTGGACTCCAGATCGAGCGGTTCCGGGTTCGAGCCTGGCCGGCGTCATTGTGTTGTGTTCTTGGGCAAGACACTTTACTTTTATATTGCCTCTCTCCAGCCGGGTAACCTGACAAAATGCTGGGGGGTAACCTGCGATGGACTAGCATCCCACCCAGGCGGAAGTAGCAATACTCCTAGTCGGCTTCATGCTACAGAAACTGGGATAAGCTCCGGCAGTTGTGGGCCACTAGGCTCGTGAAGACTTGCCTATATTTTTTTTACCTTTTTTACATGATCTACATGCTACTTACATCTTTCATAAAAGCCTTTACTGATTCGCAGGATCTTTGCCATCAGGATTGGATCAGTGGACAGGTGAGGGCCAAGGTGAAGTAACATGGGAAACACACAGTTACGGCAGGTCAGTGAACACTTTACATTGTGGTGGTCCTCCCGGCACCGGCGCATAAGGACGTCCTCTGGCTGCCTTGGAAGAATGTCTAAAAAAAGGAAGAGAAAAGCATCATTAATTTTAATAGTCAAGAGCAAGATGTAATTATTGGTATACTGTGCTTTTATTCAAAACAAAGAATTTGCACTGTATATCTTCGAAACTTGCTTTGAAAACACTTGCTTTGAGGAAGTTTTCCATGTATTTTAAATGTGCCACTGCATAAATGGCTTTCTAAATGATTATTTTGTCCACATCTATCAGACTAACCCAGGTCTTCACTGCCGCACTTGCCTGAAAACATTTTGTATTAGATTGCAGGCCATGCCGGTGATCTTACAGCTTTGTTTGATAAGAATATCACAACTTACAATAATTTTATTGTCAGTACACTGCATTATGAGAACCAGCCTTAAATTTTCATCTGAAACTTGCCAATGTGCTACTACATGTAACACAAGGACGAAGCAATAAGAACTACATAATTAGAAATATTTTGACAAACATTGTCATTAACTAACAATGAACCTGAACCGTACTCTCACAACAGTTACACTAAGAAACTCACACCTTGCATTGTAATTTCACTGTTTTAATCCAAACTCGCAGTTGACTCACATACAATACTCGCTTATTTCACTCACAGTTCAACTCTCACCTCGCACGTGTTGTTGTCCTTATTTGGTATTCCGATCTACGCAGTGATCACATTACATAATATGCGAAATGACTACAGGGGGAGGGGTAAGGCTGCCAAATCTCGTACAATTAACTAACAATGAACGGATCGCACCAGAGCGAATAACCGATTATTATAAATTAGCTTCTCCATTACAAGAGAGATCAAATTAGTTATGTTTCAATTCAAAATTTTACACAATATAGTTTTTACAAAAAGCAAATTGTTCAAAGCAAAGCTAACAAATGATAGCAGTTGTTACTTATGTAAATCTGATAAACAAGATCTTACACACATGTTGTATTCCTGTCCTTTTGTGACTCAATTCTGGGATTTGTTTTGACAATTGGTACAGACACTGCACAGCTTCGACAATTGACCGCTCGATTGTCAAAGTTGTGTATGGAATTCTTGAACCAAACAATTTAAGTAGACTCACTAATCATTTGTTACTGATTGCTAAATATTATATCTACTGCTGTAGCATTAAGGAAGAGCCTTTATCTTTGCAAACGTTCCAAGCCTTAGTTGTTAATAAGTGTGAAATAGAAAAACAAGTTGCAACTCGTTCAAACTCCCTGAAGACGTTCTATAACAAATGGAAGCCCGTGATAGATGCAAACATTTTCTAAGTAATGATGCTAGTGCTAAACATAAACGCTCTTCTTGGAATCTTGTACTTGCTATCTCCTGTTGTAGTAACTATAATGTGGCATTGTAATGTAAGTTAAGTGTTGTAAGTAAACATGTTGTATTCTCAGTGATGTAATGTAAGCAAATTTATGTAAGTAGCTAAAAAATATTAAATAAAGAAGCAAATTTATTAAAAAAATAAAAATAAATTAAAAAAAATAAAACTAACAATGAACCTACCTACGATACAGCGGTTCAATGGTTGTATGAATGAGCTTGCATAATCCCTTGGCTATTGCGGGATGCGATACAGCAGCAAACTGTGGTAACCTGTCAAGTATCGAGGCGTAGGCGTGGTCCCATGCGCCTACCATTAGCAGGGCTTCGCACAAACCAAATTTCTGATTATCTGGAACCTGGAAAAAAAGAAAATGATCCAAAGTAATACAATTGGAATTAGCAGTTCTTTAGGATTATAAATTTAATTTGAATAACTACAACCCTCGTCAAAAACTAGTCACACAGTTGCTTGATTCTTCCTTCCCCCCCCCCCCCCCCCCTCCTCCCCAACTCAATGTTGATTCTCAAACATAAAATGCACAATAAATGGGGGGGGGCATATAAAAACATTTGTATGGGACATTTACCAAGTTAAAGCATAAAGTAGCTGTATTTGTCTCGTTTTTTTTGCAAGCGTTGCAACTAGTTTTGACGGGGGTTTGTAGTTACTCTAAACATGTGGTACTGTACTATTAATTGTGGAAAAAAATGATGGTGATGATGATGGTATATATATTTTTTTATATTATTTTTTATTTTTTATTAATTATTGTTTATGGGGCATTATCTTACTAGAGGAACCTACACGAGAAAATATAAATTTATTTTGACAGTATTATGAGGACTAGCGGTAACTGCACCTCAGTCGCTTTTGTCATGATCAATAAAATTATACATAGTTTACATACAGTCATGTAAGTTTATTTTTAGGGACCTCTTGAAATCATGCTAAGCTTCCCCAAAATGCCCAAGACATATTTTTTTCTTTATTTTATCCTGTTTTTAGACTGCATGCACCAACTTTAAGCAATTCTCATGTATTATTACAGGACATACAATTGTTGGTTTATCATTTTCTTTATTTTCTTTGTTGTTTTCTTCTTCGTTTGCTGCTGCAATTTCCTGTAAAAAAAAAAACGTTAAAAAAATTAATATTATACAAACAATCCTGACATTTCTACCATCATTTATTTTACATGTACCTATAAGAAAAAATCTGCAGTCAATATGGCAAACTACAGTGGAACCCCGATCTCTCGAACCCTCGATTTCTAAAAATAAAAAAAATAACTCAAACCAAAAGTTGTTTCCCTTGGACTTGTTTCACTGTAATTTTACCCCCGATAATTCGAACTTCCCGATTTCTCGAACCAATTTTTGTTTCCCGTGGAGGTTCGAGAAATCGAAGTTCCACTGCATATACTTTGAATAGCCACAAAACATGGTTTAAAACATGGACATAACAGAAATTAATGCAATAATAATATTGTGATTAAAACTTACTGCTAACACAACCATATTCATTTTATAGGCTTCTTGTTTAGATTCATTCATTCTTGTTGTGTTATCGGTGACTATGTCTACATCCGAAGGGTTGAGCTGGAGAGAAAAATAAATAACAGTTAAATGATGCGTAATTTACATGACTAACTTACTAGGATGATGATGAGCTTTATAGTGTCAATAAAAAACACATAACAGACCAAATGGAATGTTTGAAAAATAACTCAACTCACATATAGATAGAGATCATTCAAGTCAAGCAATTCATGTTTTATTAGCAGAGCTGCCAAATGGAAGAGTGAGGGAGGGGTCGCCAAGTCTGGCTGATCCTACAAAAGAAACATGACAAAAATAAATTAATACCAGTCAAAACGTATGTGCCCCATGTGCCACATGGCACAAAGGGCACAGTTACTTGCAGTCTACTACTACTACTACTATGTCGCCCACTTGAGTCAGGCACGATGTCGGACATGCCACTGCCCCACTCCAGCACAAGTGTTCTTAGTTCTGTGGTCGACGCAGCACCTCTGTCCTTCAGAAGAGTCTTGATCATTGTAATCAACATAAACAAAAAAAAATCATGAAAAAAAACTATTCGAGACTAGAATCATCTTCTGAATTGTTCATGATGTATTCTTTCCATGTATTTGAAGAGTGTTTTGCTTGTTGTTGTCCCTCTTCACCGTGAGGAACGAGTGAGTATCATTGTTAGTAAATCTTTTTAAAAGCACTCAAAATACTTCTGATTATTTCCAGGAATTAACAACAAAGATTAGAGTGCAAGTGATCACCCTGAGGTCAGCGATATTTGGCATGTGCGCATATGCTACATGTATGATTCCATGTGCTCTCAGAGTCTAGCGTGTTTGAGCGCAGCGTTAATGTTGTGTCATGGCGGGCAGTTCTTGACGTCTCCTGCACGTTTTTCAGGCCTCAGCGTTTCCCTCCCTCTTTTCCACTGCCTTGTCAGCGTGACGGGTGCCTGTTTCGCTGGCGTGGAAGCTCATGGCTGGGTTGCCAAGATTTGCCAGCCATGGGGGCGGTTCTCCATATCTAGGAGCTGGCTGCCAAAAGTGGAAGCTCCTGGATGTCCCAGGCACCCAATCCCACTTACCGGTAAGCGATGCAGTTGTCAATGAGAATTTGTATACCACACCTTATAAAATTGAAATTTGAAGCCTATAATGTGACAGAGAGCGGTAGATTCACATTTCTCCATGTACGATGTTAACAGGGGAAGGAAGAAGTCTTCCAAATCTATGCGGCATTCAAAGGAGTCGAGCAGCACATCAAGAGTTTTGTTGGGATCAAGGTTGAACCGGCCTGCAGATAAAATAAACACAAAAACATATGTCAGTCCATGGTTTACCTGCAACACTATCAAATTCTAAACTACATGTATCAATAATTTATAGCTTAGACAAAAGCCATGACTGATTTATATGTAGCTAAATGCAATTTAGGCTAAGTTAAATGTGAGACGATGCTGGCCAGCGGTTTCCCGCATGGCCTAGGTGATGCTGGGCAGCCTGGGGTTTTGCAGGGGGTCCCTGTTGTCTTACAGCTCTCCTGTTGATGTCAGGTCATTTTCGCTGGTTGACGGTGCTCTGAAGTGTTTTCCTCCATGCTCGGCTTCAACTGCATGGCTCCACCAACCTTACAGGCACCTTCGACCCCAAGCTCATCTATTGGCGATGAGTTTATTAGCACCCAGAAGCTCTTCTTCTCACCTATCAG